AAAACTCGCTCAAGCGGGCGACCTCTATTGGAGACCTGTGTTTATTTTTCAAAACGTGTAGCCACACCAGGCTTTTAATTGAGACCTGCTTCTATTAGGGACCCTGCTTTTATTGGAAGTTTTATGGTATACAACACTATATTACACTAAACTGTACTATACTGCAGTGCATCATTTTAAACAACACTGTTACCTACAGTACTACACTATACTGCATTACAATACATTACATTGTACTGTACAGTATATCACACATCACACTATATACTGAACTACTTTACTAGACCGTGACTATGATACATATAATCAAACAACAATGTAGTTTACCACACGATAGTACATTATATTACACAGTACTTTATTATACTGTATTATACCATACTAATACTATACTATAGCGCTGGGCAACGGGATGATAGAAATAAGTAGCAGTATTTTGTATTAATTCTGGCAGTTTCATGGTATATTACAATATTTTTCTTTTGCATGACATATATATATATTTATATAGGTTCATAGAGGTTTTTTCTACTGTCGAGAGGAGTACAAAGAATATAAATACATTTTAATGCCATCATGTGTGCTGAAGGCTTTGATTACTATAGGGTTTTCTAAATAAAATAAAATAATATAAAAAAGATAGAAAGATACTTGAACTGACATAATATACTCAAGTATTTAAGTATTCAAAAATATCTATTGCACAAGTAAGAAACAAATGAGTTGTTGCAGCTGTGTACCAGTATGGCAGTGGATGAAAAATACATTATACGGGACATTATAACTGGATTACAGATTCATCTGGTATATTGCCAACCACTACTATACGACACTATACTACACTATACTACACTATATTCTACTACACTATACTATGCTATACTATTACTATATTGTTCTATACTGAACTACACTATTCTAAGCTATACTAGACATACATACTTTACTGCATATATTTTACACTAAATAATGGTATTAATGGTATACTAAGCTAATTATACAGTATTTAAAGGATGGAAACCATGTAATGTTGATGCTATAGGAGACAAAGTTACCACTTTATAAGGTACACCTGTGCAATTTAACAATCTAACCCAATCCAATCCAAGTTTAAGCTGCCCTGAAATAAAGTTCATAATCTCTAGTGTTTGTTAACACTGTGACGGACAGGTGTCGATTCACCTCACTGTTATCTGTGACACTTTCCACTACGGTAGTGATGAACTGGGTTGCATTATATTCAAATATGTTCTTGTTGTTGTGTCAATCCCCTTTAATTTAGCAAAAATACTGTACTTAGCTTGGCCACAGGCAGATACTGGGCCACAGATGCCCAGGGGTGCGGCTGGAGCTAGATTAATTGCCGTATTAATATTGATGAGGGCCGTCTATGGTTGACCTGCTGCGGCTGCAAACACACACACTATTATGCAAATGCAGGCACACACTTTTCTCAGCCAAACTATTGTTCTGGAGGAAACCGTTGACAGCTTTCCCTTTTTTTCAACAACTAGGGATGGAGATCAAGACTTTATGTTTGTGACCTATTTTTGTGTGAATTCATGCTGAAGTCACAATGCACACACTGTACAGTATAGAGCCACCTGACCACACTTATGCCTTTATTACCCACAGCTGCAGCCTCTTTTCCTCTGTCCTCTCTCTCTATGTGTCTTTATCAAACTGTTGTCTTTTAGCATCCTCTTATCTTCTGTCATCCCCCCCGTCTCCCTCCTCTCTGAGGCTTCCCTTTGACACATTCTGCATCTTCATCAGCATCTTACTCTCACACACTGCCACTTATCTGTCTCACCTCCACTGTTATCACCTCCCTCCTCTTTACACACATAGGCACACACACAGTGGAAACACCCCTCCCCCATTCCTCAGTGATAACATTTACCAGAATAGACAGTGTTGCAGGTAGATATGTTGGCTGTTTGGACCTCCTGGACTATTTTAAAGTACTGTAGACCTCAATGCCAAATGTGTGTTGGTCAATGGCTCCTTTCTAGACTTACACGTCTTTTTGTTATCTGTCTCAATTTCATTCTAGTACAGTATGTTTCTCACTACGGCGGCCCCCCTCCGCCGTGGGAGCACACCCCTGCCTGTCAAACACCAGCTGCGGAGGGAAGAGGCCGTGTCCGAGGACTGCGATTGGATCCCGGGCTTGGAGGAGCCTGCCACATTGCCTATCAGTGACACAGCGGTGCCTCGGGATGAATCCTTCAGCCAATCAGCAGCCGCCCAGTCAGCTTACCACAGCCATGGCGGGGCACTGAGGATAGTGCTCCTGGGACAGAATGGCGTGGGCAAGTCGTCGCTAGCCTTATCTCTGGCTGGGCAGTCGGACAGATCCCTCTCCATAGACTCTGAGACACAAGCATGTGGTAAAGATTCGGATATGGATTGGTGGAGTGTGTTTTTGTGTGCATGTGCACCTGTGTGTTAGGACTGGAGAAGCTTTTTTAAAATCAGTCTCAAGGTTTAACCTTAGATAAGCTTTATTCAGACACTGGAGTTAAAACGGTCACAATTCCCTGCAACTACACTGCTAGATATCCAACACACATTATATCTTGTTTGTCTACAGTACAAACACCAAAATGTAAAAATTACGTTTTAAAGAAGGAGGTTATGTTCTGGACTTCTTGGCAACTGATCTTAGACCCAGGCTAGCTTATTCCCCCTGCTTCCAGTCTTAATGATGAGCTAAGCTAACATGCTGGCTTTTACTACATATTTAGCATACAGACATAACAGTGGTATTGATTAGTAGCTGGATTTTTCGTGTTACCTTTGGACAGGGCCATGCTAGTTGTTTCCCACTTTTTCCAGACTGTATGCTAAGCTAAGCTAACCAACCGTTGGCTGTAGTCTTATATTTAACGGACAGATATGACAGATATAGTGGAATTTTATTATCTAACTCTCGGCAAGAAAGCGATTAACAGTATTTTCCAGTTTGGGTATATTTCTCTTTCTCTTTCTTTCTGCTTTGGCATCTGTCAGTCAGTAGGTCTTTCTGTCATACAGCTTACTGCAACACCGAGGATAATCAGCTCCGGTCCTCAACCATCCAACCAGCCAATCGATAAGTCAGTGTCACTAAGAGGCGACTACTCTCCGTCATGCATAAAGCTGACTTCCCCCTGACTCACGCCATACAGTATTCATTACTGCCTGTGTAGTACACTCTGATTCATGCATCATAAATGGACAAAAAAAGCAATTTCATCCAAGGAGCCTGTTCACATTTCCATGATGGCTGTCATCCTCATCCGGAGTCTTAGCAGTGTGCTAAATTATTCTATGAGCTACATATCAAAATTGCAAGGTGTAAAAAAAACACTAATCAACACCTATTTAATTAACACTTCTTTTGATAGTTTTGAGCAGATGCTGTAGCGCCATATTAGCTCCATGAGAGGGATAACGCCTCACCAATCAATACGTGTCCTCACCAAGTAATTACCAGTAAAAGACAGCAGATTAACACCAGGAGATTTGGCATGCTCATGCCTCAAGATAGACATGTCATTCATCATTGTGGGTTTCCCCAACCTATTTCAAGCTGTTTTGGGTTAATGTGTATTTTAAAGGCTGCCAGGCAATTATAGGTAGTGTATTTGTTAGAGGTGTATTGATAGTCAGCTCTCAGTCTAGTACAATACACAATACAGTGTTCATGGACAGCCATTTTCACCTGTTTTACTTCTAACTATATACTTTTCTCCTTTTACCTTTCATGTAAATGCAGCTTTTTGAAACATTTTCCTAAAAGGATACATCTGGTGGTATTTTATATATATTTTTTGGTGTTAAAAGCTTCTTTTTTGCCGTAAAATTATTTAAAACATGTTGCTGAGCTACATTGCTACACTGGGAAACACTTTCCTTCATTACTTTGAGCATGGATACTGTTTTAAGTCAGTCCTTGCATTTTTTACTGAATCTGCTGTAAAAATTCAATATTTTGCAAATGTGTATTAATCCGCTGCTGGAAATAGTCTCCAACAAATACAGAATTTACTCCCATTTGAGTGTCTTTTGCTAAAAACTACAGTGCCCAGCTGTTGTGAGGAGTCCTTTTGAATAATAACAATATGTATCTGTCCCTTTTTAAGATGTATATCTTAAGCAGAAGCAGGCTTCAAGCTGAGTGCCCCACATAAAGTAGAGAAGTTTAAAATATGAAATATGGACTAAACATTGTTGGTTTTGGTTTTCTTTTCATGGGATTTGTTGAAAGAAGAAAAATCAAGAATATCCCTAGGCTTATCCTTTAAATTGGAGAATAAAATCTCTAGATAAGAATGTCTTCATGAAAGCTAAAGAGCAAATGTCTCAAATTGGCTGCAGTAACATTTTCCAAACATGTCAGTTGGCAACTCAACCCAATTTAAACGTCTTCACGAAACTGATTTAAGATTTCTGGAGTAGGTCAAGAACATTTTTAACCTAGATTAACTTGTCAACATATTCAGGCAGCAGTTAATACCACTGACATTTCACTTTTTTTAATACCGCAATTCATTTAGACTCCACAATGCATACTGTCACATTTTTGTATTGCGATACACAGCAGTGCCCCTAGCATTTAATGGTGGTGTCAATCAGCATGTGCTGTTTTTCATTGTGTGTGACATGAGTATTTGCTTGCAGGTGAGGGCTACGAGTGCACAGTGACAGTCGACGACGAGGACAGCAAAGTCATATTTTTCGATAACTGGAAACAGGTGAGTTACGGACTGTCAGCTTCACACCTCAGTCACTGTTATGTTGTACGGTCCAGGACACCGTGTCCATTTGTACTCTGGTGACCCCTTGCCCTCTAAGCCAGCTTCTTCTGGTTTAGACGTTCTTTGCCTACACTTCAAAAATGGAAAAAGCTATTTGTTGGATTTCTGTGATGGGCAAATTATTTGTGTGTATTCGAGTGGAAAGAGTGTGTTCATACTTTTTGCTTTTATGTGTGCTTTTTATGTGTGCCTGTGTGCTAGACGGTACAGGGAATCCTGCAGGAGCAGCTGGGCTCACTGTACTTCAGCTTTTTGAAGTTCTCTCATTCGGAAAAGTGGAAATCACTCTGACTGTTAACCTTGCTTGTTTCAATTCAAATATACAGTTAACAAGAACATTTTGGCAAGAGCTAAAATTGCTGCGGCTATGCATCACCAACCTTCTGAGCTGAACAGTGTGAATGAGTTGATAGGACCCTGTGGCGATGATTTTTGAGCAGGAACGACATGAGCTACAGCAGGCAGCGGCAGAGTACAATAACAGCTTGTCAAAAAGCTCCTTATGACACTGAGGACATTATGCAAAATCAAAAAGCATGCTGTCATTAACGGCTATTAATAATGTGATCAAATGGGAGAGTACTCTAATTAAGTGTGGAGGGTGGTTCATCTCTGATGCATCTCATTTCTGATGTCCAGTCGGCCTTCAGGGCTCCCCCCTTAAGGTTAAATTATTCACACACGGCTACATTTAGCTCTGGGGAACTCCACTGGAAACTCACTCGTTTCTACACATCCTCACTTTCCCTGTAAGCTCTCACCCCCAATCTTATTGCCGTTCCTTCCTGCAGCTGTCATCATCTCCAAATCTCCCAGTCCATTCACTGTCTTTGTTGCTTTTTTTTGGCGCTTGCTCGCCTCTCTCTACTGGCCCTTTTCTGCCATGGTTAAATCTCACTGAGAGTTAATTACATTTGTTATTCTGTGCGTGTTAATACAAGGCAGGGCATTAAGGCTGAAGCAACAGACGCAGGCCAGCGGGAAGCTTGGAATAACTCCAGGGCTGTCAGCAGTGGGGGGAGGCAGAGAGGACTGGACAGCATCCCAAATCATCCGCCAATTCATGCTCATGTTTTTGTGCTTTTTTTGTGGTAACGTCCTTATATAAAAGACACATTCATACATTTATAGGTGTGGAGACAGATGTTGTCCAGCTACCGGATACATGTTTGTGGCCTTAAACCGGCATTAACCGCCAGTCCCTAGGGGCAGGGTTTCTGGCCTTGTAGCGAACTGCAAGCATTCTCCACGGGGCACCCCAACCTACACCCAAGTTACCATAGCAACATGCAAAGACACACACTACACTCTCACGTACGCACTTGCAGGGCTGACTTAATCACTCACTCACGCATAAGATCATGCTAGAACAGTCAGCATCCGACGCTGTTGGCTGTGGGGCTTCATCCGCTCTCTGGCCAGCCCGATCAGCACCTCATCATTCCCTTGCAATACAAACTGCCAAAAAAAATGAAAAACTGTTGCATTCACATTCAGTGATTGCTCCTTCAAGTGCTTTCTTGGCCTGACTCACAGCTGATTGACACATGAAGGTCTTGTAGCTGTAATTTTCCCAACTGCAGTGCAGGGAGTGGTGCACAACAAACCTCAGGTAGAGCTTACTGTAAGTGCAGAAACACAGAAATATATGTTGTCTGTGCTGACAGACGCTCCTGTGTACGTGCCCAAGCTGCAGCGTCATGTGTAAAACACACCAGCATGCACATGCACAGAAGGCTGGGAGTCTGCTCAGCCAGACGCTGGGACGTTGCAAGTGTTGTTGAAGTCACGGGGTTGGATGGTTTAAATAAGTCATCCATGTGCCCAAAATAGAAACACTGGCACACTTGGCCCTGACCTAGCCAGCCCATTCTGTCCTTCGCCTTTAGACTGACATTGGTTGTGTAATGAATCTCTTAAACATCAAACTGGGTTCTGCATGTAGGGAACCAAGTTGGAGATTGAGGTCACTGAGGACCAGAGGGCTCTCTCATCCTTTTCTCAGTGTCTGTGTGTCCGTGCATGTGTCTGATTTATTCCAAGTTCCGAATTTCCATTATTATTTGATAGTTTGAAATTAAAATATTTATTAAAGACAACCAAAAGGTGCAGCCTGAGGCTTGGAAAAATAGGCCACTGATGTGTATGTGTGTATTTATCAGCATGCAGCGAAGAGAATTTGCTGCTGGCCCGGAGGACTGGATCGTTTATTATGTTAAAGCAAATTAGAGAAAAAGTCCAGGATGTAATTTGGAAGAAGATAATTGCTGCTTGACCACATTCTTTTGCACAATTAGGAGGGAAGAAAAACATCGTTCCACCATGCAGTTCTTGGAACAGGGACAGATTTTGCCGTTGTGTCCAGGGAGTTCCTTCCCTGGACATTTTTCTCTTTCCTGTTTTGCTATTCTGCAGCCTTATGAGAGTTGTTCTGGACTATTTACAGTTTCTCGTTTCTTGCCCTGATCCATATAAGCTATTACCATAACAGTGTGTTTGCTTTAGTCTCCGCTGGGACTCACTACTGAGGTTGTTTGTGTGGAATACTCTGTGTGAACCAAAACCAAGAAATAGAAAAGCTTAAGTTGAAATCTCAACTCCCGCATTATATTTCACGCATAAATATATCTTATAAAATCATATTACAATTTTAAATGGTGTTTTCTAGATCAGATGGATTGCCGATAGCATCTTCTGATACAGAAAACTTTGCTTTTCTTGAAATAATTTGACTTAATCTACGTATATGTCTTTTGGTCACATCAAAGATTTTCACTGATAGAGTTGAACTGACAATACAGCTAGTTTATCAAGTTTTATCAATAATAATCAAAACAATAAAAATCACTTAGTTTTTGAGCTCTAAATGAATCTATCATCATCACTAATCTATCAACACAAACAGTTCGGAGCACAGTAGAGTTAGCATCACATCACTAAAACACACAAAACTCTCTCAACTTTATTCTCCTCTGTAACAGTGTCACTTCACTCTCAACGGCTTGAATATATCATCATACATTTTCGGGTTTTAAAACTTCTGATTGAGCTCTATATCATGAATTATTCAGCTCATTTGACATCAGTGACATCAGTCACAGAGCGGCAGGCAATAAAGAGCCTGATTGGTCCTCCTGTGTGCATTTCACCAAATAGCTGTTGGAGCCATATTTAAACCAAGTTAGAGAATGACTTTGTAGGTAAAACTTTTTATTTTTTATTATAAGGTAATGCCTAAAGCTAAACATAAACACAGCAAGCCTACACAAAATGTTACTAAGTTATCAAATAATAAACAAAAAATCTGTATGTCAATATGTTTGTATAAACAATGCAACACTATTCTCCTGGAGGGAAATCCTCATTTATCCTCCCTCCATAAAGAGGGCAGAGGTCAACCACAGAACAGCATCCCTGAAACCGGTAGGGATTCGGGGATTTGCTAATGGACAGTTCGGCAGGATGGAGGCTCCCCATGCCGTCATATTAAAGCTTGAATCTGGGTCATGGAGAGAAACTCACTACACCCCCTTCCTGTGTGTGTGTGTATGTGGGTGTGTGTTTGTGTGTGCGCACGTGTGACAGGTGGTTGGATGGTCATGGCATAGGCTACAATAGTCTGGTGCACTGCAGTTTGTCTGTGCTGTGATATCAGCTGCATTCGTTGGTAATGTGGTCATTCGTGGTCACTTGTGGTCATTGGTGCTCGGCTTATGCAGTGCTTACGTGTGTGTGTGTGCATGTGTGTGTGTGGTCTAACCAAGCCAGATGGCCTCTGTAATATATTTCCTTGGGGAAGCGTTGTCTCTGTGCAGCCGAAAGTAAGTGAGAGAAAAAGAGCAAACCCACCAACTCAGCGTTCCATGTGCACTAAGCTTTGTCATCCTATTATCAGATTTTGACTTAGCTACCAGAGCAAGGTGCTCCTCTGTCTCTTCAACTTGCTTCTGCTCCTCCCTCCTCTTCCTTCCTCTTTCCTGTCTTTCTTTCATTCACTTAATCCATCACCCCTGCATCTTTATTGATCCGCCTGCCATTTCATTTTGCACTGACAGGCAGTCAGACAGATAGAACACAAGCCAAGAATCGGATGTGTGCAAGGCTCACGTGTTTGCTTTTAAAAAAGCAAAATGGTAGCATGAGCGTCTATGTATTTATTTGTGCATGTGGATGTTTGTGCAAGCAGGTGGGGATGTGTTTGACCTTTGGTTTCCATGTAAAGGCCGTAATCTGCTTTGCTCATGTATCTAGTTGTGCAAACCAAATGGACTTGGGAGCCAATAGGTTGCTGTAGTTCAGGTTCTGTGGGGTGCATGTTGTATAATGAGGAACACACACACGTGCCCATACACTCTTACAAAATATGGCCAAATGCTGTGTTTTCTCCCTTTTTTCACAACTGGAAGCAATAATAGTTTGAGTGCTTGCCGAGCCACAGCATGTTATGCAAATAATGTCTGATAAGTGATTCATTGCCCTTACTGCTAATGGTTACTGATGTAGTGCCTGGCTCTAGCAAGTTGGTGTGTGAGTGTGTTTTTTAAATGCATGGTAAGGTATGTGTGTATAATGTGTACTGTTTCTGTGCATGCAAAAAGCTTGTGAAGCATATGAAATCCATTCCACTTTAGTGTTCGAGGCTGTTTTTCAACCACAACCCAACTGCAGCTTCTCGCAGGACGTCAGACCCGCTCAAACCATGATAACTCAAAAAGAAAAGCCATGTCTGTGTGTTGCACTGATAAAAAACGGGGTTGGAAACCATGCTTCCTGTCAGGTTTTATTGGATGTGTTTTCCTTATCTACATCTGCGCCAGAAAGAGGAAGTTGTAGAAAAATTAATTCTTACAAAGCTTGGTTTGGTCTGTTTATTAGTAGAACAGACAGGCCGGTCTGACTCTACTGTGAGCCTTCTATTTTTGAAAATAACATTAATCATGCTATCTGAAGGCCTGAATGATTGCCCCAATGGACTGTGTTTAAACAGAGTGAGGAGCTGCTGCAGAGCGGCAAGAAGAGCTCGACCAGTATACACGCATAGTATATTTACATTGTGTGTTTATGTTATTTTTGTGGCCTTAGAAAAATTCCTCACTAGTGGTAAGTTTCATGAAACTAAAGCTATCAGTGAGATAGATTCTAATACACAGTCATAAATGATGGGAAACAACATGAGGCACTTGGAAAAGACATTCCAGGATGTAGCCCAAAGCAGCAGTCTCCCACCAAAAATAAGGTCATTATTTATTCATAATTTCAATAAAGCCAGCATTGTAAGTGCAGCTTTGAATACAAATCAGATGTCATTATTACAGTTGTGAACTTAATGTTATGTATATCTAAGTATGAGGACCTCAGTATTTGGAAAATGGAAATCTTAATATTTGCTGAAGTATTACAACACTAGATGGGCAAAAGTATGTGGACACTTGAACATTACAGCTATGGTTGTTCAACATATTATTTCATAATCATGACTATAGCCAAATCTATCAAATCTTAATGGTCCAGTGTGTAGGATTTAGTGGCATGTAGCGGTGTAACTGAAGATCACAACTCCCTTGCTTCACCTCCTCCAAGCACGAAGAAGAAACTACGGTGGCCTTGAAATGTTGTTCCTTCTGGGCTACTGTAGAAACATGGCGACCAGGAAAGGCGAACCCCGGTGTCTGTAGATAAAAAGGTCTTATTCTAAGGTAACAAAAACACGATTCCTATATTCAGGTGATTATACAGTAATAAAGACATACTTATGGATATTATGTTCCATTTCTTCCAGTAGAGACTCCTAAATGTTACACACTGGACCTTTAAATATTTTCCCTTAAAATGCCATACCAAACATAGACTGCTAAATGTGTGCAACAAATTAAAATTGTGGGGGAAAAAAACATTGTTAGGTATTATTTATTATTAGCGTAATTATTAACACTTAGGTGTAGGTGTGGTCTGATCCGATTTAGTCAACAGAACTGCGAGGCAAACAAGGCAACAACTGTCATCATCCTCCATCACACTGATTCGAATATTGCTAAATCCTGATGCGTTCATGGAAGAACGTGACGTGCCCTTTTTCTAGCAGAAATCTCTCATGTAAAATAAAACCAAAACTGAACTTTGGGTAAAAAGAATGTATTTATGTAAGATATCCCATAGCTTATAGTAAGAGGATGATTGAGAAAATAGGTTTTCAAGGCCTTTAAGATTGAGTTCCCTTAATTGGGTCTGAGGGGCCTAGACCAAACAATGAAAAGCAGCCCCAGACCAAAAGCACACTTTCTTATACAAGTATGTAGGCTGAATATGTGTCCATATACTTTTGGCCAGGTAGTGTAGCAAGGTGATGAGTGTACAGGAATATGTCCATCAAGTGAAACCTCACAAAGCCTCCAAATTTCTTGGAAAATAACTGCTCGTTGCTTTGTGTGTATTTGCGTTTGAATATGTGCTTTGAATATTACTGCGTGTGGGCTTGGCTTTTGTGTTTGTGTGTCAGTCACTGTGAATGTGTGTGTGTGTGTGTGTGTATGGGGGGAGTAGGTATTGACAGATGGCCTGCTCTCTGTGGACGGAGAAGAGCTGCTTGATCGAGAGAAAGAAAGCGAGAGCAAGCGGGAGAGAGTTGGCACCTGAGTTTCTCTGCGTCTGTTTTTGATAGAGAGGCATATTTACTTGGTCACAGTTTTACTCCTCAAGCGTTCCATCACACTCCTAATCGAAGTCCACTCTGGGTTTGTACTCTTTTGCTTACAAAGATTAGTCTCTCTCTCTCTCTGTCTCTTGTTGTTTCCATTCTTCCTCTTCATCCCTGAATCAGACAGTGACAGGTGGTGGAGCCGCCTTCCACGCCAATGCCTCCTTCCCCTCCTTCTTTTTCCGCTCCCTTTCTTTTCCTGTGCGCAGTCAAACAGACAGAGTGCCAAGGGGCTCCCCGTGAATTTCCTGCTCCAGGGTCTGATTCGATACTACTTGGCCGCTTTAGACGGTGTGAATTTTTCAGGCGTCTGAAACTCTCTGGAGGGCAGGAATTTACCTCCAGGGGCTGTGGATGTAGGGCAAGGGCACCCGCATACTCACACATAAACACAGACAACACGCAGTCGAAAGCGAGCAGGCAGATTGGGTTATCTGGTGGGAATAACATGTTTTCATATTGATTTAGACACCAGTTCTCATGGCTTCAGACTTCTATTTCCACTTGAAAAACAATTTGATTGGGTTTGCTGTCCTATGGGTCAAAATTTTGCAGAGTTTCAAAATAACACAATGAATGTTATAGATTAAAGCTTAAACCAACCCTCAAATAGCATTTTACCAATTCCCTCTGAGAATGTTTACAGTTAAGTCGAGGAAAAAGCCTCAATACTGTAATGTAAACTTAATTTTTTTATTTAAACAGTTTGTCTCATTGCAAGAAATACCTCTGGATATAAAACAATTATTCCTGTAGGTCTAATTCTATACTGGGTCCCTATTTAATCGACAGAGAATGGGACTTTAACTGGCATAACGCTGTGGAGTCTGGTCTCAGGTTTCTTTCTTTGGTAGAAAATAGTTTGTATTGATTGTGCTTGTCCAACTTAAGATAAAATGTCAACCCCACAGGCCTGAGGTAGCATTGTGAAATCCAACAAATTTTGAGACTTATAGATAAGTGAAGATGTGAAAATTGTGTATAAGGTAAAAGAAGATGTGTAGAAAATCACAAAACTCCTAAAACGTTCCATTAGATTCAGTGTTCCAGACATAAAGACACAAATCCTATTTCTGTAGAATCAGTGAAACTCCTGATCGAACAGATAAAAATGTGGCGCTGTCAACCAGAGTGGAAAAATATTTCTGTGTCTAACTTTGAAGTGGAATACACTGTAAACACAACACCGGCATATTATCACATAGTTCTTACAACTGAAAGTTGCCTATTTACACATCCAGTAGACTATGTCAGTGTTTATTTGTAGTCATATTTCTTTACACCTGGCAAATGTCCAATATTCATTAAAGCATATTTGTTGAATATGGCAACAGTACATAAGACAGATAACCTGTAAAAAAAATCAACTCATTAGTTGCAGTTGTAACTGTGATAATATGCCCCTAATTTCTTATAAATGTTACCTGCTGCCGTTTTAAAATGGTGAAACTCATTCATCTGGCTCCTAAAGCAGCTAAATGCTTGACCAAGTTAACCAGCTACATTGTCTGTCTGCCGTTCGGTGCTGGGCAGGAAGCGTATCAGCATTAACACTGTAACGTTTTGGGCCATAAAAGCAAAACAATGAGCTGATAGATGCTAAAACGCTCCATGGAGCTGAGGGGAACTTTAAAGTGGGTGATAATTCTCAGTGGGCTCGTCATGAGCAGCGACTTTAAGGGGGATACTAGGAACCCCATTGTTGATGTTGTTTGGCCATATTCCGAACAAAAACAGTACATCATCTAAGCTACAATGCTGTGGGACACAAATGGTGCATACCTAATCCACATGACCACAGGCTTCAGACTTAAATCCAAAATTGGATTGCATATTACTCTGCAGTTCACAACCACAGGGAATTAAATTTATTAAACCCTGAGCCATATGGCAAAGCCCCTGCATGTAATATCACTCACCAAATTAGCAGACCTTTGACTGAAATTGACACAGTGTTATTAAATTAAATGATCAAATGATCAGCTGGGTGGGATTTGGCCTTGAATTCTGCCTGGATATGATCACATTAGTTGAAATATCATTCAAGTTACAGCCAGGAAACCTTGCCATGACCTATTTTACACCCATGAACCACCTTCGGTCCAATGCAAATGTTGCTGACAGAATCAGGGAGAGAAAGCGAGAGAGGACAAAGATGGTCCCAGGCAGTTCGAAGCTGCTGTTTCTGCTAGAGCCACTCGGGCTAATTGAGTCTCTGTGACAGGAAGCCCCGACGGGATGTTGGTGGTCACTGCTAAAAGGGTCAGGAGATTCAAAGTGAAGCGTGACATGCGTACAGTCAAGTTGAGCAAAAGCCTCCTCTGCGTGCTCTCATGGGACAGTGATAAAACTTGAGTGAACGCCTGCCTGGCATTGGCACTGATGTCCTTTCAGTGGTTAAACTCCAGCACAACAAACATACAACAAAGAAGGACTTGAGATGGAATCTGAGAAAGAATAGGCAATTTGTCGATGGCATGTAAACGATCTTGTGTAAATGTTACTTGACATTCCACACCTATTCAGCCGTCACTGGATCTGTCCATGATGTATTCAGTACTAATACGCTCCACTGAGGTGTGTGTTTTATTAATGTGTGTGTTTGTATCCCCAGGACCTGTCCACTCTGCAGTGTGATGTGTGCATCCTCGTATTCTCAGTGACTGACAGGCGAAGTTTCCACCGCACCGCCCAGCTCCGCCTCCTCCTCAGGGAGTCCCAGCCACAGACACCAATCATCCTAGTGGGCAACAAGAGCGACCTTGTCCGCTCCCGTGAGATCAGCTCAGATGGTAGGTAGAGGGAGGGCCAGGGTCAATTGGCCATTAGCTGAACAGCGATCGTCCAGTCATAGCTTAGCAACAATAACAAAGCACTGCCAGGCAGTGTTGTGCAAGTCCACACTAAAGAAGAGCTAGCTCTTTTTTCCAGTTTTAATTGAGTTTTAACTCAGCAGTGCGTGAGCGTCGTTATCTCTCGCGGGAGACAACACTGATGCCAGGTCTGTCAAGCTGTGGGTTTCTCTGTGTGCTGAAGCAGTGTACATGTGTACTTTCCATATTCTAAGACAAATTGACATCCACCACAGCGCTTGCTATTAAAAACAGAAACCTTGTGATTTAACAAAGTTAAACAATGATTGCTTTGTGAGCACAGAGAGCGCAACTATAGCTCCCTTAAAATTTACAAGTGCTATACTCACGTCATTGTATCTTCATCCATATTCATAAAACTCACTATTGCTCTCTTCTAAAGTCATTTTTCCCTCTTTCAAAAGAGTTACTGTCCTTATATAGACATATGTGAGCCACACTCCATGCTGTTAAAAAATGTTTCAAGGCTGGATTTTTTTGTTGTTACAAATGTCAAGGCATTTTGAATGCATTTGAATTTTCGTATTTCTAAAACATTCAGGTTTAACTGAGGCTCTCTATTTAAGACTGCTTTAACTGGAAATATTAAAAAGTCAACTGAAGATTGAGCCTTTAACCAAGTAAGTTGTTAGCTTGATTAGCTGCAGCTAACAAACGCTGCCAATGTCATTTCAAATAGAAGTCTTTTTTTTCAAGACTTTTGTCTACCTCTCTCTGATATCAAGGACCCATTGTTACAAAAATGTATAAGAATTCGTAGTGATAAAACTGCATATTGTAACCTACGTGCAATGCAATGTGTGACAGGCATAGCAAAAGTAACCGAGAGGCACAGAGCTTACCAGACGCATTAGTTTGCATCTGCCCAGACACAGGCAGCAGCGAACAAACACCAGGCTGCTGGGTGAATGATGCCTAAGAAGAAACACACCAGAAAGATTGGAAATGCATTCTCTTGTTTGCATATTTGACTTTCCAAGCAGCTTTCCAATTGCAAAATCACAAATAGAAAATGTCTTGTAATCACAATGATCTGGTAGATATTGAGGCTTTTTTCTGGTTGTTATAATAGATAAGAGTGCCTAAATGCCCAAAATGCAAATGTGTAGTTAAGAGATGCACACAGACCAATGAGAACAATGCCAGTGTGCTTTGTGCAATTACTCATCTATACCATCTATTTACTATTTTTTCTGTCTTTCTGTCTTAGCTAATCTGTCTCTCTTCCCTGGTATTTTACCATAAATCTTCCTCTAAGCCGATGACGTCTCCATTAGAAAGACTCATGGGGGATCTATCTTTGATCTGCAAAATCAATTTCTTCACTCTTTACAGTATCCAGGGAGAAATGCTCTCATGGTAAACTCCTTATGAGAAGCAAATTCTATCATCTTTTATTGTTGTAAAGGTGTGGAAATATACACTATAAAAGCCATTTACCCCCATGGCCTTTTTATGTTTTATTGTTTTACCACTTTGAATTACACTGGGTGTAATTTGACTTTTTGACAATGATGCACAGAAAGAAAACAAATCTACAGTTTGGGTAAAAATAAATATAAAAAACAAAGTAATAGATTAGTCTAGTTTGTGCAGATGTTTATGACTAAAACACATGGAAGTCAAAGTGTGAACCTTGACTTGACCAATTAAGTTCTATTAGTGTGTAACATTTTGTAGGATGTATTGGCAGAAATGCAATATCCATAGGTATGTTTTCATTGTGTATAATCACCTGAAAATTAGAATTGTGCCTCTGTAGATAAAAACATCTCATTCTAAGGTAACAAAAACAAAATTCTTATTTTCAGGTGATTATACACTAATGAAAACATACCTATATATATTATATTCCATTTCTGCCAAAACCTTACACACTGGACCTTTAAATGATGTGTGTAATCCAGGTGTGCCATAGAATTTCAGGTTAAATACAACTGTATTTTTCAGGGAAAAATTACATTGTGAAGACAAAAGAACATTCTAAACAAATCCACCATTAATGATTGATTATCTCACAATTCTAAGTGTCATACAAAGAGGATGCAAGATGGTCCACATTCAGTGGACTCAAGGCTGTAACTGCTGCCAATGTTGCCCCTATTAAATATTGATGGGGATGAATACTTAATGCGGGTGATAATTTTGTGTTTTAAATTTGGATTTAGATACATGCATGTGAGATTTGTTTTTGTGTGAGAGGTGCATTTTTTTGGTTGGAAAGTCAAATTTCCTCCATTGTGAGTCAGTGTAGTCCAAAGTAATGGATATTTTTACCGCTATGTGTAAGTGCTGCAACAATTCATAATACAAAATGAATAAATCAAGTTAATCTAAGAGCTCACTTTACTCTGGTGAACTTTGGTCTGTACGCTTTACAAAGATTTTAGGATTTGGCATGCCACACTGACGCAAGGTCTTGGCAAAACAAATTCACTGAAGAGGAAACATACAGTGCAGTACTGAATCCACTTAGTGATGCTTGAAAATCCACTGAACACAGATCACACCACAGGCAGATTGTAATTTTGCTAGACTTTTGTGAGTGAATTTTTTATGTATCACTGGTGGGCCGTCCCATTGTCTGAACGTCATTAATGTTTCAAATAGAAAGTGGGTGCAGTGTCTGTAGTTGAAAGGGAGGAATGACTGACAGCACAGTTTCACCTTGATTTAAACTCACATTCACAGTTTATATTGTATCAATTCAAAACTTCATGGTCACATATTCACATATATCACATATTTTGCTGCTGTTGCAATCATTACTTTATCCTTCCCTATCTAGTCCTCTGGAGGGGCTCCATCTTTCTGTGCCCCTTGGCTCCTCTGCTTTTGGTTTTGTTTTGTTTTGTTTTTTCCCAGATGGCACATCTCTGTTTGGTTTATCTCCCCCTTACAGGACGCCGCTGCTCTTACTATCTTTATGCATGTTTGTACTCGCCATACGTGCACAACTGCCTTGCATGTACACAGACACAGCGACGGCACAAACAAGCAGACGCACAGCCTCATCTCTCTCCATCTTCTTGCTGCCTCGTGTCAGCCAGGCTGTTTCAAAGCGAGTGCTGTGATAAGAGGGACGAGGAGAAGAGGAGTGACAGAAGGAAGGGCAAATGTATGAGAATTGTGTGTGTGTGTGTGTGTGTATGAATGGGAGTCTCAGTTCTGAAGAGATGTGTAAAACGCATTGTGTGTGTTGGGGGAGAGTAGAGCTTGTTTTGTTGTCCTTGAAAGAACCACTTTGAGTTTTCAGACCCTCACACTGAGGGTATTTTTTGCAAAGGAAGGCTGTATAGCTAGTGCTACATCAATGCATTGGTTTTTCCATACATCTGTGAGGTGATGTTTACCTCTTCTTGGAATCTCTGTCTCCATAGCTTCCCCTGCCTGTATGTTATTCTGTAGCTCTCTCACAAAAGACAATCCTGACCTGCCTATTTTGTCCAATTCTGTCCTTTAGTAGCTATTCAGAAATTACTAAATTACCTCCCTAAACCACTGCTGCTGGTCCTGAGTGGCTTTAAAGGTAAATTGTCTCATCTGCAATCTGTAGAAATTGTCAGTGACCAGACGTGAATTCAGCTTTCAGATACAATAGAAGTCTAAATTATGACTCTTTACAAGAATCTGCCCAGATAGCAATGTGATTTGAGTCTTCACTTGACTCAGCTTTTAATGTTAAAGCATTTCTGATGTTACCACAGAGTGAAATGACTGTGATGTTAAAATATTACTAGTCTATCATGCTTTTACTTTTAGCTCTTTTTGTACGAGTTACTTGAAACTCCTGATTGTCTGACTGCAGATGGACAGACTGTCCCCGATATAGTCCTCAGGAGCTGGTGCAGGCTGAAGCAGAGCTAAAAGGAAGGGCCAGAAACATGATTCAAATGGGATGCTAATGCTCCATGTGTGCTAGGTGTAGAGTAGTTTGCTCACCTGAGATGGGATTACTGAGTGCAGCTTTAATGCTGTTTGTGTAAATTACTGTGAGTTGGGGCTGCTAATGCTAACAAAACTGTTGAATAGTTAACAATCAAATTTGATAAATCAGCGCATATCAGCAATCACTCTCAAATAGTCTAATGTGTTAACTACAGGCCTGAACATGGGTAATGAGTGTGGGAATGTATTCTTGTTTATTTTTGATTTAAGATTTTAAATAATTTTGAATTTAGAGAAATAATCAGCGGCTGCATTTAAAAAAATATATACTGTATGCTGTCAGACATTGCATAGTCTTTATTGTGCTAACCCCTTTGTCTAATCCTCCAAGGAGTCAGGGTTCAGATTTAAGAAGATTTAAGATTATGATTAGAGATTATTTCTATGATTTAAAGATCCAGTGTGTAGGCATTAGTGGCATAGCAATGTAGTTGCAGATTGCAACTCTCTCGCTTTACCCTCCCCTTTCAAACACGAAGGAGAAACTATGATTGCCATGACATGCATGAAAAATGCGAAACACCCTCTTTGAAGCAAGTGTTTGGTTTGTCCCTTCTGGGCTACTGTAGAAACATGGCAGTTCAACATGAAAAGCCACCTGCGTCCTTTGTAGATTAAAAAAGACTCATTCTAACGGTTACAATTCTTACTTTCAGGTAATTATACACTAATAAAAACATTCCTATGAATATTCAATTTTTAAAGTTTCAATCTAGTTGTTTAGGACAAGTGAAGCTGAGAGAAAGAATACAGCGAGTGGAATGTTCTCATAAGGACATAAGAGTAGAGTGTGTGTGTGTTTCTTGTGTGGAAGTGTGGAAACCACAGTTTGAGGTCAAATCGTGTTTGCTTTGCTTTACTTTGCAAGTTAAACAGAGGCAGCAAGTGTAAAATTTGTGCACATCGATGCTTGCACATCGCTGTCGACTCAAGTTCGGCCACGGCTTTGGTGTATACTTAATAACACAAGTGGAAGGGGGAGGGAGGGAGGCGAGGTATGAATAATGAGAGATGCCTATACTCAGCATATTCTCTCTTCATGAAAAAAAAAAAGGAACAACCCAGGAGCAGCAATGTGGTCAGCGATATGGAAATGCCCCGTCTCTGTTCCCGGGGCGCCTGACAAGGATGTTCTTATGTTCTCTCTGGACAGACCGCATGTATTCTGGCTGATATGTGAGCCTGACAGGACGCCGATTGGCCTGCTAGCTAACATCCTCCTTAAAGAACCTGGGGCCCGAGAGTGCTGAAGACATAAAGTCTATTTATGGCATATACAGTGACACTTTTATTCTGCTATCTCTCACCTCCCCCCTCCCCCTTGCTACACCGCTCTCCCCATCTTTAACACACAGTGATACACTCACTGTCACACTGGGAACATATTTATCATTTGCTCAATTTGGCTGTGGTGTGGCCCTGCTCCTCAGGGCTTTGATTCATATCTGGCTCTGTTTGCTTACTCGACATTCTCTCTGTCTGTCTCCTGCCTCCCTCCGTCCGTCTGTCTCTTTCTGTCTCCTTCCTCTCCCCCGTTTGTTCATTTTATCTGCCATCTTGCCTGTCGTCCCCTCTCAGCATCTCCTTCTTCTGTCTTTGTGACTCACATGTTTCTTCCCATTCGTCTTCATGCCTCTCTCACTCTGTCTCTTCTTCATCAATGTTTCCTTTCCTCTCATCTCGTCTCCTCTTCTCATTTCTTCTCACCTCCTCACTCCCTCTCCTGTCCTTGTGCCCTCACTCTTGTTTCCTTCTCTCTTCTCCTCATTGTTTCTTCTTTTTCATGTTTTTACCTCTCTCGTTTTCTTCTTTCAGCTCCTCATCTCCTTTCATTGTTTCCTCTGCCCTCATCTTCCCTTGTGTCCTCTCTTTGTTTCCTCTCCTCTCATTTCCTCATGCCCTGTCCTCGTCTCCTTGACACCTCTCCTTGTCTTCTCTATGCTCTCCTCTCCTCTCAAATTTCATTTCCCAAACACTCCTTTAACAGGTCATAAAGACTCAGTTCAATTCAATCAGCTGTTGTAGGTATTAGGATAAGCCCTGTTGATCTGGTTTGGGATTTGTTTTTTTTTTCTCCTCCCACTCTTACCTCACCCACTATTAGGTGACACAGCTGTGGGTCAACAGCTGCTGTGCGGCTGGATTATTACAGCCTCATCAAATCCAGTTCTGGTTTTTGTAATACCTGTGTGACAGTCTAACAAACAAATGAACAGGTCACATTGCAGTGACCGTAGTTCAGAATATTGACAAGGTTTTAACTAGATTTAATGAAGCATGTGTATTTATTAATGATATACAGGTGCAGCTTATGAATGGCTTATTTGTCTCTGTGGCTTTCAACTGTGTCACATGATCTTCATTAGAAGATGGATTTTTATGTCAACAGATCAATCTCCATGACAACTGAGCAAACTGATGAAGAACATGCGGTTGAAAGGTCTGGAAAAGCCAGTAAGAGGACCTTGAATTTAGATTATGTCAAAGTATACCCCAAAAATTCCAACTCAAGGTCCACTTGCAAGCTTTAGTCAAGTTCAATCACATGAATTTACAGCTTGACATTTCTTTATAATAAAGTACAAAGGGCAACCTCACTAATTAGACACGTTTTACACCAACATATTACCTGCATGTAAAATAAACATAATCATCCATTGCACTGCTTATGCATAAAACACAGTAAATACAAAATGTCAATGCAACATCTGACAGGTTAGGTAATTATTTAATGTTAATGTTTGTCTCAGAGGAACATATAATTCTCCATTTGCCATTTCTAAGCTTCCAGCAGAAAATAATAAAATTAATGGTGACAGTTAATGGAAAAAGACATTTAGTCTAGTTTTACTGAAATGCACATTTTGGGCAGTAGCCACTTGTTTTTCCTGAAATGATTCTTTATTGAAGTTTTTAAGAACTTATCTTATTTAATTTGCCTTACTTTTGTTCTTTGTTTTTATCCTCTGACAGGTAGATGATTTGAGTTTTACTTAGATGTATTATTGTGTGCTTAAAATTATTTTTCTAGATAGACAAAGGCAGTGACCTCTTAACACTTTGCTGTCATTTTGAAATAATGCAGTTATTATGAATACCAACAATAAACCTTAAAAGCCTCTGAACAGTGCATTGGCAATCAAATGAAGTGTTGCTGGAAAAAAATACTATTTGAGCTGACAATGAAGCCCATTTGTTGCAGAATGATCTGTATCTGTCAGCTTTCCTTATCACCCAGGCTTGTTTGACCAGGAACAAACAGACGCTTTTAGCTGAGATACTGAGCCTTGTCAACAACACGTTTAGTCACCTGTCCTTATCCAGGAGAGTCACATTGAGATAGACAGCGTTTTCCCATTTGTGCTGCAGCCAAGAGATTTAAGCTGAACCCCTCAGCTAGTGGCACCATTAACCCCATCCTGCCATCACTAGCTCTCTCTCTGGCTTGTTGTATTCATTTATAACTGACAGATTCACAAAGTAATACACAAATCTAAATTTTAAAAACATTACAGTGCATTAAAGGCTAGTTAGTTTAATTGGGAAAAAGGATATTTTAATGTAACATAAGAAATTAGATGAGGATTGGCATAAAAAACACTTTTTATTAATTGAATATTGTCTGAGTGGTGTGCTTTGCTGCAGGGCCTTTATTTAAACTAGTGACCAGGTTTTTTTTTTTACAGCAGGAACCATGAAATCTGGATGAAAATCTGTTTAAACCAATCCACACCAAAAATCTGCATATTTTTTCATATTTGTGAAAAATCCAACTCAAGCTCCACTCATCAGCTTTTTACAAAGCTTTCACTCATCTTGTCTTCGGATAGCAGATAGGGTTTGGTTGTGGAGATGGCTCTGTTATTATTTCAGCAATTCACTAGACCATAGAAATTTAGAGGATCCCAAAGGTCCACTTACTAGCTGTTTCTGTTGTTCCTTTCAACTGTATGATAATGTCCTTATCTGTGGATGGAGGTTGCTCAGTGACAGGTAAACACATCTATCACCACGACAACTGTGTATCCATCCATCACAAAAGGTATGATCTGGTTGAAATCTCCGGAACAATGCCAGTAAGTGGACCTTGAGTTGGGATTGTTTAGTCTTTCAAGTTTATCTTAAGATGGAGATTTACTTGTCTTTTAGCCAACTGTTCTCATTGTGGAGGTGGTGCATTCATTTCTGAAGACACACAACCAAACGGTCCAAACGGACGCAGGATACTCAAGGCAGCAATCATGCGTTATATGTGATATATATAATGTAAATCATTCTTTATTATGAGTACAGGCCTGTTTTGTAGTAGTATCCATTGTAATATTTCACACTTCACAAGACAAGATTTCAACAGTGCACTGAACAAGAGGAGTGTCTCTTCCCCACAAAGTAAGAGACTGTAGATTGACTCCATTTGTCACAATTTGGTGCTGAAGAAGTGACAAATTAACACCTAACAGAGTCTCCCAAACAGCAGTGTGGGAAATGTCAATCCAGAATTATTATCTTGTGGTGATACACATCACACAGCAGCTGGGTCGTGGTTTGCTGGTTTCATGATCTGATGTCTTAAATTTCAAACTGCTGCCTCTAATCATCAGTTGCAGCTGCCAGTGTGTGAAGCCTCAATTAAAGTGTAAAATGTGCACAAACATTTTCTTAAAACCTATCTTCTTCTCTCTCACCAGAGGCCCAATCCAGCGCCATGATGTTCGACTGCGTCTATATGGAGCTCTCAGCCTCCCTGGACCACGGCACCAATGAGCTGTTGGAGGCCGCAGTACGGATTGCGAGGGGCGACTGCGTGGGCCCTGGCTGGACCGACGGGGACCCCGGGGCAGGCCGCAGGGAGAGCCTGACCAGCCGGGCCAAACGCTTCCTGGCGGGTCTGGTGCCACGCTCGTACGGTCGGGACAGGGACCGGGATCGGGGGCGCTACCGGGAAATGAGCCGCCACCGGGGCAGCAAGATCCTCCGCCAGAAGTCCCGCTCCTGCCACGACCTGAGTGCACTGTGACACACACGCATGCATACATATGGGCAAAGAGACACAAGCCCACACATGTACACACACACATACACACACACCAGATTGAAGGATATTAGGGACAGGGAGGTGCAAAAGATGGAGAGGGTAAAATAGAAGATAGTGGGGAAGAAAGCCTAAATATGTAGGAGACTTGGACAATTAGAGATAAATTTAGCAAAGGTGCATAAAAGAAAAGGGAGAAAAAGCCTAGATCAGCCTGGATCACAGCACTGAACTTTTATCTTCTCCCTCTTAGTGAAACCAATTTTGAGAGAGAAGGAGGCCAGGTTGGAGAGGAAAAACAGAGAAGCAGATAAGGAGGTGAGCATGGGTGAATCAGCGAGCACTCATTACCTGATGAGAGCAGGAGAGAGAAAATTAGTGACAATGCATAGA